TTTTCCCACATTCTCCGTGCTCTCGCTACTCTGCATAGGGACTGCACAAAATCGTGCTCGTAGAAAAATACATTTCCATTTTTCTGTAAATGTTCACATTTTTAGTAAACACCGAACAAATGTTTTAATAAATATTAAATAAATTTATATATTATATTAACGATCTCTCGTTTTATATATAATATAATAATAAAAGTTTTTATATATAATATAATAATATTATCGTTTTTTATTTTTCGGCGAGAAAATAAATTCTGCTATTATCAATTGCGGTAGATATTATTTTAATAAATATTAAATAAATTTATATATTATATTAACGATCGATTTATATAATAATATTATCGTTTTTTATTTTTCGGCGAGAAAATAAATTCTGCTATTATCAATTGCGGTAGATATTATTTTAATAAATATTAAATAAATTTATATATTATATTAACGATCGATTTATATAATAATATTATCGTTTTTTATTTTTCGGCGAGAAAATAAATTCTGCTATTATCAATTGCGGTAGATATTATTTTAATAAATATTAAATAAATTTATATATTATATTAACGATCGATTTATATAATAATATTATCGTTTTTTATTTTTCGGCGAGAAAATAAATTCTGCTATTATCAATTGCGGTAGATATTATTTTAATAAATATTAAATAAATTTATATATTATATTAACGATCGATTTATATAATAATATTATCGTTTTTTATTTTTCGGCGAGAAAATAAATTCTGCTATTACCAATTGCGGTAAATATTGTTTTAATAAATATTAAATAAATTTATATATTATATTAACGATCTCGTTTTATGTATAATATAATAATAAAAATTTTTATATACAATATAATAATATTATCGTTTTCGATAATATTATTTTAACGATCGTTCGTCTCTAGAATTCTTTTTATGTCGGATACGATTCTTCTCGGTCGATTTTGGTTAAGCTTCTCGCGCGTACAATGAAACTCGTGCAGATACATATACACATAGGCTTCATGCGGTGAACATTATCTTATTGCGGGCGCAGTCGTCATGAATCTTTTCTAGTTCTAGTACTTCTCTCACGTTCATTCCATTGGCCTACATTCCTGACGATAACCCAAGAATTAGGGCGAACTTGTTTGTAGAAATTCTGCCTCGAAATTTCTTGCAAATTTCTTCTGCTGTTCCACATTCTTCCAAAACTTGTTCCCGCTATACATTTCTTTGTCTCTCTGTTGCCGTTGGTTAAACTTAGCACCGGATAACAAAAACGACTGTTCAAGTTTCTACGAACACAAGCATAGTCGAAGTTCCGAACAAACGATGTCTATAGCAAAATACTCGACGGTCGCTCGAGCTTATCTTCGTCGTAATGATTTCCCAAAAACAACAAAGAAAAGCAATACAATAAATCCTCTCCGACTGTTCTGAACAATTTGGGAAGAGGAGATACGATTGTTCGAGCCTATTCCCAAAATTTCCATCTTCGTTTATAAGCTGAACGACAAATCGGGGAGAATTTGCTGTAATTAGCGCGATCGACTAGCTTGAAACAGCGGATGGCGGCAAAAGTCTTCGTCATTTAAGTCGAACAAAAGCCAGCCATCCTCGGCTAGTTCCCTTTGAATCAGCGCCGCGATTCAAACATAAGGCGACGCTCGAAAGATTCTTGGGCTGGCGGAGTGCGAACCGTGCAAATCTCAACCCTTGCAAAATTTCGCGAGACCGACAGAAAGAGGCGATGCGAATGAAAGAGAAAGAGAGCGGGCCGAGTGCGCTTCTCTTGACTTTGATTTATGACCAGTTAAGAGACGTGCATTTCTGCCACGCGCTGTAAATCCCATACGTATCACCTCACCCCCTCCCCCGCAGGAACCACCCGGTGGTCGTCTCGATTCAACAAGTGCTCCGAACCATGTTTCGCAAACATGGATGACCGGTGGATCCCCGAGCGAATTAGCAGAAATCTTCAATCTCGAGCCTATCATTTCTGCCTGATCGCTCTGCGAAGAACGGCAGCTCGTTCTACCGGTCTCTCATTGTCAACCGAAGACACAACTTCGATGACAATTTAACCTCGTTAATTAACAGATTGCGGAACTTCGTACAAAATAAGAATTATCTAAGTCCTAAGTCAAAGGCCATCAGCAACCCCAACTTCGATAGCAGTATTCTCGAAAAACATTTTTACCGTCGAACAGCGTATTCTGAACGTCTCCGTAGCGACACCAAAACGGGGCAGCTTCAACCCCCCTTGCTATTACGATTTACTTTACACGGCAGGGGTGTCAAACTCGCGGCCCGAGATGAACATTTTTGATGTCAAGTAAACAATAATTTAACTTTATATATGTGTTTATTACAATGTACTAGTCAAAATAAAAATATTTGTTTCTATGAACATTGATTTTTCTTTTTCTTTTTTTGCGGCCCACCTAAAGTTAAGCATTGTTTATTTGGCCCAAGTTAGCTTTTGAGTTTGACACCCCTGCTTTACGGTGTTTAGTATTACATTACGTTGGAAACACCTTCTTCGTCCGGTCCGATTCGATATTACATGGCAGGGGGTTGGGATCAAGCGCGGACGCAAGAAAAGCACAGTTTCACCGTCGTGGAAGGCAAAACCAAGCTCCGCGGATACGATCCGTCATTGTTTTCCCCGCGATTCTGCGAATCCTCTCTCGGAGAGCTCCGGGACTGGTCGACCCTGTTGGAAGGAGAACCTTCGCGAGCGAGTCGTATTCCAAGTAGGCCACCACGGCGGATGTGCACCGTCGAGTTGAGATTGAAACGTTGGCTGTTACTTCTGCTACCACGGCTCTGGCTGTTGCAAAAATTTACAAATCGACCAAATATTACCGCTTCGTTTTCCAAGCGAGGTTACAAATACCGTGTAATTATTTTAAAGAGATTTAGCTCGGTTGAAATTCAAATATTAACCCTTTGCAATCGAGTGGCGACTCTGAGGCGCCACTAAAAATTGGTGTACTATTTTTCAAAATCATTGCAAGGGCGTCAGACTCGTTTATATTTTTTTAATACTGTTAAAATTGCGTTGTACTTGCCAGTAGGCTCAATTTCATGCGCATAAATCTGCAATAAATTATATAAAATAGAAATACTGTAGATCAGAAATCATGTTTTGAATTTCGAATTTAAGTAGCTTCGACTGCAAAGGGTTAAGCTTTTGCTTGGCAACGAGTGGGCAACTTATTTGTGTTCGCTGTGTTGCCTTTTACGAACCTCTCATTTTCTTTTTAATTCAAGGATCCTTTCGTTTGACCGATTTCAGCGAAATTAATAAAATAAAAAGAAGCAATAAAAACATAATAAAGAAGACTAATAAAATAAATGACTAATAAAAGCACAAAATCGTAGTATCTGAATAGAAAAATAGGAATCACCGATGACCTCGAGACACGCTCGAATCGCCAAAGATTCTTTCTAATTCAAAGTCGCGTTCCCTCGAATCGAAAGTTCGCGGTTAAACGTCTTGTTTTGCCGCACGCGTATCGCGAGCACGCGGTATCATCGTCTCCGATGGCATTGCTCGTTTCCTCGTAACTTTTTTTCCCCCTCCCCACCGATCGTGCTCGTTCTTCTTTGCCAATGGCGTATGCCCGCTCTTTGACTTCGCCGGTAGTGGGAAAACCTCTAACGCATCGATTAAAAACGGTTGAATTACGGTCGAAGTCAGCGCGCATCCCTCTACTGCAACGCCGCTCTTCGTGACTCCGGCCGTTTCTATTTTTGCATCTTTTTTTTTCGGTGAAATCATACGTCACACGCAGACCACGTGGACGCGACGAGCCGACGAACATGCCGACGGTGACATCTCGCGGTAATTCGCGCAACCGGCTTCGCCGTTTAGCGGTTCTCATACGGAACCACGACTTTTCGCCTGCCGGATTTTCTATGTTTCTCTCTGTTCCTCTTTGTTTTGCCGCGCGCACCCGGTAGGAAATCGCCGGAGGGAGGAACGATTATTTACTTACTTTCACTCGCACACGATCGCTGAATCGTCCACGTAAATCATCGATGTCCCACGTGCGCCGCCATTCGTTTCGGGATTACGCGTAATGGATTGATTACGACGCGTCTAAATGTCTTGCGTGACAACGTGATCCACGTCGGAGGATTCGGATAGCTGAAAAACACCGTGTTTCGTACGGAATTGTCGTCCCTTTGGCGAGCGTTCGACTTTCGTAGATTGTTTCGCAAAACCCAGGATCAGAAACTATTTTACCGGAAATGTCGTCACAAGTACAAGATGGAACCGAAGTTTCGAGAACCGAAGAATTTCTAGCATATTTCACGAGCTCGTCGAGTTTTTACTAGGAACGTGGAACGGGAGGGTGGAAGAAGAAAAAAAGGAGACGCTAGGAAAATGAAGAAGAGCATTTCACAAGGGTCCCGCATGCTCGCTGATTGAACCAATGAGTAACAACGCTCCCCTGCCCCCACCTATCCGCCGTTTGCGCTCCCTCCCGTACACCTCCGTGCCCACTCGATCATCCATTCCAACCAACGATGACTTCTTTCAGGCCGGGGTAGGGAGACGCCTGACGTCATTCTCCAACGTCTGTCAGCGAGCCGACCCTCTGAGTCACGTCGTTTTGCCTACTCTGCTCGCAGCGGAGTATCGAGACTGTGCAAGGTCTTGCATGGTCATGTCGCCGAGTCGTCCTCTAGAAAATTTTCCCAGCTTATCGCTCGCGATATTCTTCGTTCGTATGAATCACATAGATACGCTCCTGCTCGTCGCGAAATGCATTTCCATGGAGTCGTTGTTCCGATTCAATTTCATATCTTGACATTCCTAACAAGGTATATACTCTCCCTAGGATTTCTAAATTAATTCCAACTTAAGCGCGTCGAGAGAGAGATCCGAATTCTGCACTCCCCGAGAGGCTCATGATTTATCAAATTTCTTTGATCGTTCATTTTGTACCGGATTGAAACGTCGAGCGCAGTGATTCTAACGCAGCAATTCCTTTGGTTTTAGAGTTGTGCAATGATGGGTCTGCAGGCCACGGCAGGAAAACGTAAACTGGAGGGAGGTGTGGGCTGCATGGAGTTCGACATGGACATGGGCGAGAGCCCATCGAAGTTGGGCCGAGTGGAGGGTAGCTGGTGGGCGATGGAGGATAGTTATACGCCCCCACTGAGCCAGACCCCGGCGTCTTACTACGAGATGGAAGTGAGTCCGCCTTGCCTGCAGATAAATCCCTGTCAACCGACATCGGCGAGTCAGCAGCAGCAGCAGCAGCAGCAACAACAACAACAACAGCAGCATCAGACGTCGCAGCAGCAACAGCAGCAGCAGCAGCAGCAACAGCAGCAGCAGCACTCTACGACGCCGACATCGGCGCCGCCGCCTTCGACGGTGGCGCATCTACATCATCATCCCCAACATTACTACCATCACCAGCGCGGACCCAGCAGTCCGGTTGGCAGCAACGGATACAGTCAACTGTCGAGGCCGCAGCCACAATGGGGCGCGCCTCACCATTACGAGCCGCCGACGATACGGCGAGAGGAGAACGGAAAGAGTTATCTGGAGCTTGGCTCGAGTTACCGGGCGAACGAGAGGTGCTGCGAGGGCTCGAGGTCGAGTTGGTGCCGGCGCGGCAGAGCCTGCTACAGGCAGAGGCGGCTCGCCGTGCTGAACATTTCGATGTGCAAGTTGGCGAGGTACCGCCAGTTCCCGGACCCGAGCCTGCACCGGTCCGTTCTGATCTGCAACACGCTCAGGCATCTGGAACGGGAAATGGAGAGGGACAGAAGTCCGCCGCCCATGGAGCCGGTGATACCAGCGCCGATCGCTCAGCTGCAACCACCCGAGCAGGGCAGGCTAACGCCGTTTCCGATGCCGCCAACCTCCTCGAACGAGACCGACGTCGACTCCGGGATCGGCGACAGCGACGACAGTCGCTCGATCAACTGGGGCAGCGTGCTGTCGCTCTCGAGTCAGTCACCGCTGGACCCCCTGAACAACAACGAGCTACTGGACGTGGACATCGGTCCGGACCTAGACCTAGACTTCATGCCCGGATGGAAGCTGACGCCCCTTTCCGCCGACGACATCCTCAGGAGTACGACGGCCCAGGAACAGCAACACCAGCACCAGCAACAACAACACCATCAGCAACAGCAACACTTAGCCACGCCGGCCAGTGGTAGCTGCGGCAGCAGCAACATGGGCAGCGCCTGCGCAACCACCGGAAACAGCAGTAGTACGCACGAGTCGTTGATGTGCGTTGGATCATAGCCCCCGATTTTGACATCGTTGAGTCACCTCATCGACTTCTATCCGCTGATGCCACAGAGCAAATAATGCGCGGCTAACACCTAGAACCGCGGGCCGAGCGCAGACGACGGCGTAACCGCCGCCATTGCCGCCGCCCTCTCTCGAAACTGCGACGCCTGGTCGGCGACTCTACAGGAGGTCTTCTTTTTCTTATTTATTACCGTTCGTGTCAATTACGCACCGATTGGTTCTCTCGATTACGTTCCGCTACCACCGCAACCGGCACCACCATGGCCGTGCCCCTTGAAAAGGGGCCGCGCGTCGTGACACGCTGCTCTCGCAGGTGCAGAGACGTAGCGGATCTCATGGCGCATACCCTTTAGGGCATGCGAAACCGAGAGGTGATTACCATTTATTAATCGACGAGTACCCGAGTTCGCTTTTCGCCAGCAATATCTTCGACCGCGCGCGCTCCTCGCCGCAAACACACCCTCCGTACTTCTTTCGTCTCGCGTTGCAAATTCGATGCTTTTCTCGAAAATATTGGCAGGTTCGTTTCACTTCGAACGAACTTGCCAGACCGGTACAAGATCGTGGATTACCACCAGAGACACTTTTCTCTGGGAGGATACGAGGGTTCGGACTTGACGAGATTCAACGTCAATGATCTGTTGGAACAATTTGATTTTACATTATTTCCTGCTGTTAACTTAAGAGAATTTGAAAGTCATGATTCGTTTGATGATGAATCGTAATGCGAAAACGGGTCCTCGACCGGCTTCTACAACCACCTCCAATTACTATACTATATCGAAACGATCTGTTTTTGCAGTTGCACCTGCGAGTACGGCGGCACACGTATGAGTTCCCTGGTCGTTCGAATTGTCGCCACCGGCACGTCAGACAGAAATGAGAGATAGATAGATAGATAGATAGATAGATAGAGAGAGAGAGAAAGAGCAAGAGAGAGAGAGAGAGAATGAATGTGTGTGAGATGAGAAAGAGCGAGAGAGAGAGAGAGAGAGGGAGAGAGAGGGAGAGGGAGAGCGAGATAGAACGAGATAGAACGAAAAGTCTCAGAGCTTTCAACGTCCACGCCCCCGGGCCGGCGATGCGGTTGACGAGTGCAAGATAGCCTTCTCCTCGAAAATGTTTAAGCGGGCAACGCTGACACGCGACAAGACCGACCGAAAACGATCAATGGAAAAACCATCGTCCCTCTCCGCTTCATTCGTAATTCGCGAGTGTTGGCAAATGTGATTCGGTATCGCTCGCCTAGCCGGCCGGCGTTGAGAACTCTTCAGCGACGTCCTCGGCGTCGCTCGTGACAGCCAATCGAAGTAGGAGGAGTTATCCATCGATCGATGTTTTCCTTCGGATTAGAAAGACATTTAAAAAGAAAAATGAAACCAGCCGACGATTAATCAATGCCATACACTGTATTACACCAACGGTACACACTTATACACATTATAAGACATAACCGCCGTGGCCTATACTACACATCTCATACCTGCATATTAGAAGAGAAACACTTCACACGCACACCCACACGACGAGGAACACGCGAAACATCTGATCGACGGACACGCATACACACGACATACACACACAAGCGCGCGCGCGCACGCAGAGACATATTCTACACACACGCGCGTTCGTACATAGAAAAGAAAGAATCGATATGGTGCTAGGACGATTACACCCTGGTGCTTACTTCTGTATACACACAGCCATGTGCGTACATTCGCACGGATCGCCCGCAGTCTTCGTCGAGGAGTCTAAATACGTCCTGACGTCGTGGACAGGACACGGTGTGATCGAACGCGGCTCCATCCAGATTGCCATCTAACTTGAGGGCCAGGACCATGCCGAGTACTCCGCCGGAGGAAAGGCGCAGGATTCCTCGTTGGATGGAGGTGCGCTCGAGGTCAAGGACACGCGCCGCGCATCCGGTGTTCTGGCGCACGACGCTTAAACAAATGTACCTGCATTTTAGAAATCGGGATTAACGATACCGGTCCCTTCGGACCGTCGCGCGAAGGCCACTGTGCGCCACTGATCTCCCGTAAATGTACTATATTACGTATAAAATAGTGTGGCCGACGGACATAGTGCGAAGGTGACCAAATTTACCTGGGGTGGAACTCGGCGAGATTTAATTAAAACTCGACAAGACGCGCTTCGCGAAGAGGAAACCGGCGATCCGCGCGCGCGATCTCGTCCTCAACGTCCACTAAACCGCAGAATACCCATTCAGAGAGCAGCTATACTTAAATCGAGATTAAGCGAAGTTTAAATGCGAGTCTATCCAGACACACGCACACATACACACACGCGCACACACACACGTGCATACACACAGAGAGAGAGACAAGCATCCACACAAACACACATACACACACGATTTAACGAACGATATAAATAAACTTTATAAATCGACTGATCAATTGCGCGAGAGAACAAAAAACAAAATATGACCGATAGATAATAACGTTTTACGACACGAGGGTGATTTAAACTGTAATTAATTCAGTGTTAAGCCGACAAGGCACGCATGTGAAACAGAGACAGAAAACACGCGTACATTTGTATACAGAGAAGCATACGTACACACACGATCTACGCAGCGACACGACTGTACATGAAGACACGCTGAATAGTCGATGTATATAGGATACACACACGCGCGCGCACGCGCACGCGCAATACACACGAACACGTACGTGCTAAGTCGAAATAATTGTCAACCGCGAATCGCGAGCTCTGGCAGATTTCCATCTTCTAATTCGGTTTTCCTTTTCTGAATTCCGCCCGCAAGGAATCAACAACCCTCCGGGCTCTCGATCTTTTACGAATCGTTTCGCCGATTTTCCCGGAAACATACGAGAAAAATCATTTCGAACGGCGCGAAACATCTCGGACACGATGGTTACGTACATCTCGTCGAAGCGACCCGTGACTTCCTAATATCTAGCGAGCAGAATATTCTTCTGGTGCTGCTCGAAGTGCTCGGCATCGGTCCGACACGACTCGAATTCAAAGCTCCGCTACCGGTTACACCCAGCAATCTAGCCCAGAAAATATCCTGCTCGCTTATCGCATCAGGGTACGACTCGCTTCGGTGCGGTGTGCCTACAATTCGGGTTATACAATTTCTGTGAAAAACCATGCATACACAAACCACGCGTACACGAAGAAAGAACGAAACAAAGAGAGAGAGAGAGAGAGAGAGAGAGCGAGAGAGAGAGAAAGAAAGAGAGACAGAGTGAGAGAGTGAGAGAGAGAAGCGCNACGCGCGCGCGCGCACGCGCGCACGCGCGAACGCGTTAACAATGGTAGCGGATTAGCCGTCGTAGGTGGGATTTAACGTTTGTTCCCGATTCAGCCGGTCATATTGTATCGATTCGATTAATTAGACTCGCGACGAGACACGGGGGAGGCCTCTATTGTAACGAACTCGTCGGATCTCAGCGAGACAGAGCTTTTTATCGCGATGTTCGGGGCGAGCGCCGAGAGGCGCGCGGGTAGATTTTATCGGTTTCTAGCTGCCACGTGTGGACGTCGTGTAGAGAGTATTTATGGTTCTAGTTAGAGGGATTTATATGGAAAATTTTCAGAGAGTATATATATAGACGCGTCACGCGTATATATATATGTATATGTACCCTCGCCGGTTTCTTTTTGGTTTTTCGTAGTGTTAACGAGAATTTATAGAGGACGAATCGAACCAACGAATAGCAATATAGGGATGTGGAGGAGCGAGGACGTAAGCCTCGGAGCTTTAGGGGCGAGAGAGAGGATTTTATCCGCGGAACGTGTTGTACGCGAGAATGCAGTCATAGTCTTTCAGATGTTTTTCTAATTCTTGATAATATACGTAATTTAAAAAAAAAATATATATATATATATAGATGTAAGTATACATCTCGCACGCGTATACGTAAAAACATAAATCTATATATATATATGAAGAGAAATAAAGAGAGAAGAAAGGCTATATATGTATGTACACACGCGGACACGTACACACGTACACGCTCACTAAAAAACTATATATACACACGTACACGCGACCATACACACACACACACACAAGCAGACATACGTACACACATAAATATGTATACATATAGTATTTATTGACGTCATCGACTTTACGGCAAAAAAGATGGAAGAAAGCAAGCAAGCAAGCAAACAAACAAACAAAACTGCAAAGACTTATTAGCATTTAATCGTGCGAGCGACCGTTCGAGACTAGCTTAGAATAGTATTTTTTTACTTGAACCAAACGAAACGTCGGGAAGTCGTGCAGAGGCACACACCGTCGACACAAGAGAAGAGAGACGAGCCCAGGCCGTGTTTCCACGAGCCGAGCTAATCGATGATACACCGCGACGCGGCCAGCACAGCGCGCGTCGCGTACACTTACCTTTTAGGAAGAAAACTTCGGAAAGTCGATCGTAAAAAGTAGTGGTACACGTATACGTTGCGCAACACCATTGCAGGAAAAATGATCGATCGAAGAGGTTTGCACGAGGGGAGAGAAGAGGAGAGAGGGCCTAGTTATTGCGGCGCTCATTCGAGACAATGAGGTTCACCGACGATTTTCTGTTCCGATCCCACGCGACACTCGGGGCAAACCGATATAGGGAAACCGAGCGACGAAACAAAGAGAGAGAGAGAGAGAGAGAGAGAGCGAGAGAGAGAGAAAGAAAGAGAGACAGAGTGAGAGAGTGAGAGAGAGAAGCGCGCGAAACGTTCTACGAAATGGTACATATTCGCGGTTGACAGCAGTGTGTCCGTAGTTGTTTTCTTGCATGGTAGGCCGGCGAGGATAGAATGAACGTCGGGGAAGCAGCCTGGCACATGCGAGCCTCACCAGCGTACGCTAGATTGTTAACAAATTTCGTCCATCGCGTTGTTGCGTCTCGCGCGTGCCACTTCGCGCTTTTCGATCGTGAACAGCTCCGCCTGGATCGGCTCCGGCTTGGTAGTCCGTAACGCGTTCGCCCTTGCAGTACGCGCGAGTTGATTAGGAAATGTTGTTTTGCCTCTGCTGCACGGACCAACGCGTACCAGCAAGAAGCAACGGAAGAAAAAAAAAATACTCATCGTCGCTAGATCGGGGTAGTTTCGGGTCCGAGTGTTGGCTGCCGAGCGGCGAGTGCCAAGCGCGGCTGCAGAGATGTTCTAACTCCTCGATGGGAAGACAAGAGAAAAGAAGGCTGCGCTCGTCGGTGCAGGAAATAATTTCGTACTTTTACACGGATGTACCTTAGCCGCGTTGAAACGCGTTCGAGTACAACACGGTACCGGTTGAGTACCGATAAAAAAAAGGGGGGAGGGCGGGGATATGTCTCAGCGAATGAGGGTGAATTGTCGTCGGGTACATCGGGCACAGTCCACGGCGTTTTGCAGAGACATTAAGAGTTTGCGACCGTGCAAGAGAACGACGAACGAGAACCGCAAACACGCGCGTTCCGACTTTGGCGCCGACGCGCGTATTTCTTCTGTTCTGACGACAAATGGTGTGTAAACGAACAGTTTTTTTCGGGGACTACGATTTAACACGTGAAACGGAATCATTGTACATAGTATAAATAGCGCACGCGCAGACGTATGTTTAAGCGAAGAATAAAAGATGATATAATAGGTATAATGTGAAGAAAATATACATATAAGATATTATATATATTATATATATATATATATATACATATATATATATATATATAAACAAGAAGTATATATATAAGATTATTATATATATTTACCGTGATAAGTGATACAAAACGGTAACAGGGACTCGCGCAATCTCGTCGTCGTTCGGATAGCGACGCTAGCAATTTGCGAGCGGCCCACGAGGCCCTTTTCTCCACTCAAATTCAGTTTGACAGACGTGCAACCAGATCGACGATCAGTGTCGCCGCCCCCGGAATACAACGCGACAACTGACCGTTCCGTTGTTGTCATCCACGTTCATCCATAGCGCAGCTCTTCCAGAACGTTTCTACGTGCTCGTCGAGTCTAGATAATACGGTCAACTGGGCCAAGTTTGCGAGAGATTCCTAGCTTATTCGACACAAATTTCCCGCTCTCTCTCTCTCTCTCTCTCTCCTTGTTGGAGCGATCAGTTGTCACCACGGTGGTCACGGCACGATCTCGTCGGGGGTTGCGTTCTTAACTCCTTATCGGACACGAGCTTGATAGCACCCTCGAACATTGGGATACGTTGATCTTACTTTTCATTTTTGTTACATTTCCGTCGGTTCTTTAATCTTTCGACCGAAGCCGGGATACATCGACGAACCGTACCGGGAAAGCGTTCGGTTGCCCGGAAATAAACTGCGGTTTTGGTGAATTATGATTCATTTTATTTAGAACAAATTTACGTAGTGCAAACGTATCGGTACTTTTAGAACGAATCGATTACAAAAGTTCGTAGAAAGTACACTTTCGATCGACAAATTGGATCAAAGTGTCCGATTGTCCCGGATAATAATGAACTGGATAAACGCTCTAAATAGAACGGATCGAAAAACCGCAATTCGTTTCAGGCCGATCTAATCGAATTTGTTGGGAAGACGTAAAGTATCGAAACATTCCCCTCGATGTTCAAAAATTCAGTTCACGTTTCTCAGAAGTAGTTGTACGAAAGGAATCAGGATAACGGTACTACCAAATTATATTTTACGTTCTAAATCACCATCCGACGTATGTATACGCGTCTCGTACGCAGACAGAGACTCCGAAGGGCGTACATAATGCGTCTTCCGCGGTCGAAGGGTTAAAGAAATTCCGGGATTCCTGAGGCGTATCAACTCCATTGTCCTGTGACGAGTTAAACGAATTGGGCTGGCGCGAAGACGTACGATTAAGTTCCTATTACACGATATCTGAACGAGAATTAGTTAGCAATTAAACCCGGATTAAACCGATGTGTAGCGACAGTTCGAGTGGGCCGCATCGCGAACGAACCAGCGTCCTCGAACCTTTTCTTCTTCTTTTTTACGGTTAATACTATTATTATTATTACGATTATATTATTAATATTATTATTATTACGTTTGACGTCGAACGACCGCGGACAGCGGGCACGGTCCCTCTCTCTCGTCGTTTTAGGAGAAAGGGACCGCGTGTCGCCGGCCACGGTTCCGAACATTGTCCGAAACAACCGAGGACCGGGAGGATACAGATAAACTGGAACGGTTTACCGAGACGAACGAGTCCCATTCGTGACCGTGTACCTAGGACAGGTGAAAACACACGACACTGTACATTGTAAATAGTAGCGCGGAGAAGACGGTTACAGAAAGACAGAGTTAATTAATTAAAAGGAAAAAAAAGGTGACGCAAGAAAATGATGAGAGATGTTGCATCGAAAATCGCGCCGGGCGCGTGAAGCGAATGCACGTTCCCGCGGGATCGCGTTGATTTTCAGGCGACCCCGAGGTATGTCAAACGAAACTGGGATCATCATCATCATCGACCTTCTCTTCCAACCCCGCGTTGTTTTCTCATCACCGAACGTTCGTCTTTCACGTACGTTCGCGAAATTCTCGGCTCATCCGAAATAAAAATTATTCGACGATAAAAATCATGCACTCGCCTAAAATCGATGCGTCCCGATGGGGTACGTTCGCCATACGAGCCGCGTGTGCGGCCATTTTAATAGAGCTAGGAAAATTTTAAGATGCACGGTTGTATCTTCGAACGTGTGCCGATCACTCGACTGTAACTCGTGTCCGTGTCACGAGACCACGTCTAAAGATGAAAAAAAAAATGTGTAGTAAAATGAGGGGGAAAAAAAACGTATCACAGGGAATGCTAAAATATGTGAATGGCGGTAAAAGGGGGTTGGGGGATCGAGAAGCTGCAAAAACGAATAACTAGGGAAATGCGAGCTCGCGACTTTGTCACTGGCCGCGAGCGTTCGCCAATTCATTACGATCGCAAAAAAAAGAAAAAAACAGAAGAAATACGAAAAGAAGCAAGAATCGCAATTACTCTAGTCCTAAGTGGTCCATGAGTGCACGCCACGCGAAACACACAGTTCTTGAGTGGTTGGACACGTCGTATTTTTCTTTTTCATTCGTTTTAATTTTTGTTTCAAAGTTGTGAAGTTGTATCGCATACCGTTTTACCAAAATACCAGCAGCAGAAATCAGCATAAACAGAAAAACAAAAATGAGAATAACAAATGCAGCGCAAAAACGATTAACCTGATGAAAAGTAAAAGAATAACGCACGATATGGACAACAACAACAACAAAAACTATCAAAAACAATAAAGAGTATTATTCTATATATAATAATGGTGTTGTGATATTTTGTGACCCTTTTTTCCCTCCCAAACTGTGTTTTACTAATTCTACGAATTATTATTTCATCTGTGATTAAACATAATGTTCGTGAATTGCAACGTCAATAAATCGACAAAGTAAACGTGATTTTCGAATTTTATTCAAATGATTGCAATTTTTGTTCAGGTACATCGTAACAAAATATAGTTCGCGCATAATTAACTCATTATCTAAGAAAACATCTCTATGGTCAGCTATAGCGTTATCTAGCAGCTTATCAAATCTTGAATATTATTCAATTTTTGCTCGATAAGAAATAGCATGTTATAAAAATTATCTGCTCGGGTATTTATACTTGCTGTTTATGCATGTAACAACAGTTAAACAATACAATCTTGATATTTATAGCAGGATGGCTCATATTGGCGGTCCTTGATTTTCATCTGCAAATTGTTCATCGAACCAATGTTTCTGTTTCTCCTTTCATCATTTGTTTATTTAATTTAGATAAAGTAACTGTCTCGCATATTACTTAATTGCAGTACCTATATACGTATTTTGTTTGCATTATTTTCGTTCAAAAAAAAGAAAGGGAAAATAAAGGGTTTAGCGAATGGACTGAGAATGGAAAGGGATAAGAGAGAGTAGAAAAAAGGAACTGAAGATGAAGGAAGCGAAATGGACTATTATTTATGAACACGGCAAACCATCGACTTTCGTCGAAGTGATAATGAAGAAGAAAATGGGGGCGTAGCCCAAGTGTCCGACATATTTGATCATCCGACATGCTCGGAGCCGAGATATTCTTATTTTCTTTTTTACTAACATTTCGTCTAAAATATGATAATTGAGGCATTATAGATCGTGGTAATACTATCCATCGATTCCATAACCATAGACTGCCATAATTACGTGTATTTATGGTCTTTTTTAAAATAGCCTGTTTATGGACCACGAAACACTATCACTACATAGCTGTAGACGTCTAAACTAAACCTGTTCTATATGCACGGAGCAGATGTTCGTAAAATATTAATTCTGGTAAAAATAGGGTATGAAAAAATTAAGCAATGGTATAGGATTATTTAGAAGGATCTACTACATCGATATCACACAAGTATACAGATGATAATACTGCATAACATAATTAATTGTTTATTAAAGATTGATTAATTATTATATTAATTGATTATATCTATTAGTATTACCGTCTGTTTTTTCACATGATATCGATGCAACAGGTTTCTCTAAACAATTCTTTGCTCTTGGTTAATTTTGTTTTAATGCACCAATCGAGGTAGAAATTTCTCGCAGAATAAATGAATCATTTTATAAAATCGCATTTACTTGAGCTCGTTTGGATATTCTTAAATTATAAGATCACTTTGTTTATGCATCACTAGGTGCTTTAAAATATCTTTTCTTCTCGCGAAAACTTCGTTGCATTTCTCACATCGTAATACCTTCGCATAGTGCGTTTTCGTATGCTTCAGCATATCGTTTTTTTGTGAAAATCCTCTGCCGCATGTTTCGCAAGGAAATGGCTTTTCACCGGTATGTATTCTTACATGTATAACCAATGCACCCTTACGTGTGAAACTTTTGCCACAATACATACACCTATGGGGTTTAACATCCGAATGAATTTTCATATGCTGATTGAGATTACTGGAACACTTGTATTCCATTTTACATATTTTGCAAACGTAAGGTCGTTCTCCAGTATGGATCCTTTCATGTATCAGACGTGCTTCTTTAGAAACAAACGCTTCCCCACAATATTGACACATGTGAGGCCTTTCCTTGGAATGCACAGATTTCTTATGATAAATCAAAGAATTTTTACTAGCCAATTGTTTGCCACAAATATCACACTCCACGCTCCTTTCTCCTTTATGCGTGCGTTCGTGATTTAAAAAATCAGATCGTATGGTAAACAACTGGTTACAAATCTTACATTGCCACTCTGTTCGATCGGAATACTTTTTTGCAGTACTGACCATAACACTGTCCTCCGTATGTTTTTTGCGATGCAATTTTAACTGGCTCATCGATTTACATTTACACGCACAAATCTAGGAAAAACAAAACAATTTTTTGTTGCTTTCGTAATTACCGAACCGACTCCAATAGTGGCATACTTACACTACAGGTGTATATTCCATCACCATTACTATGCCTTTTAAGGTGAGTATTCATATTTCCTTTACGATTGAAAGACGTTCCACATATCGGACAAACATGTTTATTCATGCCATGAGACAATTTGTGTTGTCTTAACTGTATCCTCTTGTAAAAAGCTTTGCCACATTTTTCGCAACAGTAGGGTTTGTTGCCGTTGTGCTGGTTCATGTGTTCTCCCAAATGAAATCTAAATTGTATACATATATTGAATAATACAAAATTCGTATGTCATTTTCGAAAATCAACAGTACTTATTCAAACTCTACCTAGACCTAAACGCATTCCCACAAATTTCACAGACGTGCCGTTTCTTTCTCGAGTCATCCAAATGAGTTCTTTTGTGACCCCTCAAATTATTAGAGTGTTTGAAGCTCTTTCCACATAAATCACATAGATAGGGTTTATCTATTCGATGCGTAGCTTCGTGAACGTCTAAACTAGACCATTTCTCATAACTTTTATCACAGATAAGACACGCGAATAATAGTTGACTTTCGTGACGTTCTGCAATGTGATTTAATAGTTCCTTTTTGGTACTGTAAATAGATTGACAGTGACCGCATTTCTTATTTGTTTCCGCTATATTTTTTTTAGTATTGCAGTCTTCTTCTGTTGTGTATAGTTTATCTGGGATTTTGTAATTTTCCTCTTGAAAAGATTTGCAATTAGAAAGTTCATTGATACTTATACTACTAGTTATTTCTTTCTGTTTCTCTATTATTATTTCATCTTCGTTGCATAATATTTTGTGATTCTCAAATATTTCTCGGGTTTTAAAGGAATCTTTACAATGGAAAGATGCAATGTCATTAATACCATTTGATATATGGTTCGTTACAATTTCGTTTATAGAGCTATCTTCTTTGTTTTCGTCACTGTACGATTCAATAAGTCTATTTAATTCAGACTGTATTTCTTTTCTTATATTGTTCGGAGAGCTAGCTTTTTTTCTCTCAATATCTTCTAGGTAATCCAATTTTGTGGGCACATCCTGATTCATTATGATTTCCTGTCCATCACTAGATGATAATTCTATAGACATAGAATGAATTGTTTTATTCATGTACATCTCGCTTATTAATTCTGAAGAACACATTTTTATTATTTCATCGTATTTATTATCATAACTTAACTGCAAAACAATTAAAATATATTCAGTTATTTATTTACAGTCACAAAACAAATTAATATACGTACTCCATCTTTGATATTTAGAAACTTTTTCAATCTCATATCAGTTTTTAAAGATGTTGTAACTAATAAATGCGCTGTTTCCAAATTATCATAACATTTGGTACATATCTTTTGTGGCATTAAATCTTCCATATTAGGATTGATTGGTAAGTGCAAATTCATTTTTTCTTTTATTTTTAACTCTAAACCTTTTTCAGTGAAAATTTCTATACCATGTAAACAGGATCCTCCGCATATTCTACATAAATTTGAAAATCTAATAGTAATATCTTGATACTGATCCATCTCAACATCTATATCACAATCTGTTAATTCCACATTGTCTGCTGCTTCTATCTGTTTATTTCTGATAAACATATTTTGTACATTTCCTTTTGCCATATTGTCTGATCCAAATAATGTAGGAACAGCATGTTGGTCTATTATAATCGGGTCAGTTTTGTTTATATAATGGTGATCTGCGATATGATGAGAACATACATAATAATTTAAATGTAATTCTTCATTAGATTTTGCTAGAAGATCCGTTCTGCCACAATTGTGTGCCCATATTTTAGACCTGAAAGAAATTAATTCTTTGTGCACATTAGCGATATGTAGCATGCTGTAATAATGTAAAACTGAATACGAGAATGAGCTTAACAATTAATTGAGCCATATTTATAAAGTAAATTAATGAAACTTACATATCATCATTAGGAAAATTAATAAAAATAACATGTGTTGAGTCTTCAGTTTCCGAGGAGTATTTACAATTCTTCCCGGCGCAAATTACTTTCATTTTGTAAATATTTCAATTTATTAACTTTCTTTACTGCTTTTTATGAGTTATTTACATAGGGAGCATCTCGTGTTAAAGTTATTGACAAACTGTACGTCATTTATCTTGTGTTGATTTTATCTGTACACTATACGCTATACATATTTCTGTGTATGCATCTCACTTTTTGTATACACTAAAGATAGACTATAGATTTTTGTAAATATAACAAAATAGATAAAGGTAAATATTGTAAAATCATTGTTTTATGTATTGTATTTTTATACATATTTGCATCATAAGACCGATGGTGACATTAAATGTTGGCACATTACGGCAGAGATAATACGAGCTATGAGGTGCGCCTAGTATAGATGCTCATCGGAACATCGGATCAATGTGGAACCAAAGAAGATCAAATTGTGGCAGCATTGGCAGTATTTTTGGAGCCGACAACATTGTAAAATTGAGAGTAACTTTCTGTGCTACAGTCTTATGTGTTATATTTAGGTAGAGTGAAGAGGACTCGAGAAACCACTGATTTTGAACGATGTTGGTACTTTAGGACATGGAACACAGAACTTCATAAAGTGCTTGGTTCAGTCAACACTAATTGCTTTGGATTGCAGCTTTGTCTGTGCTTACACTACTGTAATTACGTTATTTTCTCACTTGGTGCAGCACTGTCGCCTGTGCAGAATTGGTGACACTGAACTGAAACCATGGGTCATTTTTTCCAATTTCTTCTCTGCTAGAAGTAAATAAGAGTTTATGTCACGAAAATGTATGTTTATTATCAAATATTAAGTTTGTAATGCAATTTCATTCGATGTAAAGGAGTAACAGCTCCTTGTATTGAAAGACACTTCTAAAATGTTGCACGAAGTATTGCTGTCATTGTGGGGCTGCTCGACCAATGTTTTAGAGATATTGGAGACAAATGTAAGGTTAAAATGATTCGGTGCAACTTTGTGAATATCATTTCTAAATGTTCATATTTTTTATTTACCATTTTCAGACTGTAGATCTTGAAAAATATTTACATCCCGGGGAACGTGCATTACTTAAGAAAATATTGGACATAGTTGAGGAGTGCAATGTTATTAGAAACTTTATTCAAGAGAATACAACATTCGATATTACAAAACCCAATGAAGGTATACGATAGTTTATTTATTATAATTTACGAAATTTTTATATTTTCGTACAATCAAACCTTCCTGACTGTAATTATTTTATATTAGTTTTTATTCTATAGAATTGCAAAGTTTACCTCAAGGTTTATATCTACAAGCTCTCTGCGAAGGAATGGATCAAGCTTTAGAACCATTCCGTGAGGAAATTGTTGATTTAGAGAATGTAGTTCTTCATGACAGTTATACTCCGTTATCATTAATTCTGTGCCGTGTCCAAAAGTATACAGGTTTATTCTTTGTTCTGAATTCTATTATAAGAGAAGTGAGTCTCTACAAATATCATATTACTTCTTATTAGTAACTAAAAAAGTAGTAAATACATACTTTAATTTCGCATCATTTTAGATTAAGGCACTAAAAATTCATGGTTGCAAACTGTTACAATGTTTACACTTAAATACATACACTGGTATTCCACAAGTAAAAACAGCTTTGGAGAAGTGAGTGATCTTTGTTATCATTATCTTAATGACTCATTTGTTAACTCGTTTGTTGTTATTTAGGATGTCCCTTTGTATACATATAGTTTTTTACAAACAATTAACGAGTTGGCTTTTGTATGGTAATTTGGAGGACACATACAATGAGTTTTTCATCCAGAAAATATCGAATGAACAAAACAATTTGATATTGGCAGATAATAAAAACAATGCTGCAGATACAAAAAGTGTAAAATTAAACTCAGATATGTGGGATTACAGTGTTCAAATGGATATGCTACCATTTTATATTAGACCATCGTTAGCAACCAAAATTTTGACTATAGGACAAACTATTATAATGTTTGGAAATGATCCAAGACAAAAAAAAGGTAAGTTGTTTGCTTGAAATTTTATGTTTATAAATATGAAAAATAAATATATTAAAATTGTCTCTATTTGTTTATAGACTTTGCAGTAGACGATCAGATCGAATTTTCTATATGGGGAGATAAAGAATACGAGTATTTTCTTAAAATTCAAAAACTTCAGAAGAATCCTATTTTTAATATTGCTAAATTTGAACGTATAATTGATGAATTAAAATGTTGTGTAACTGAATTATTATATCGAATTGTGGTCGAGGAATTTCAACTAGTACAACAACTCAAATTAGTGAAAGACTTTTTTCTAATGGGCCGGGGTGATTTGTTTCTCGAATTTGTTAGACTGACTGCACATATACTGAACAAACCGCCAACAAATCATACTTCCAGAGATATCAATCTAGCTTTTCAAATTGCATTAAGGAAGCTGCATTTGAACGACGAAAGTGCTATGGAGAATTTTAATTTTTTAGTTCCAATTCCAGTGGAAGATAGCGATGAAACCGAAGGAAATGGTACAGAGATTACAGACAAGGAGCGGGAAGATCCTATCGGTATAATTTTGTTTCATGAAGAAACTATATTTTTTAAACAGTCAAACATTTTAACTTAATTATCCTTTTTTATTAAATATAGAAAGGCGCGGATGGGGGATGATCATTTTAAAGTACAAAGTTATATGGCCGTTACAATTACTATTTAGTCCATCGGCTTTAGTCGATTACAATATACTATTCCGATTTCTATTGAGAGTAAAGAAAACTCAAATTGGTCTTTGGAATCTATGGAGTGAGCACATGTATTATAAGAACATGTAAGATATGATTGTGATATTTTTCATATAAAGACACATATATTACTCCAATCGTTATATTATTATGGTTTCTAAATTTCAGTGATATAGGTGTAATACAACTAAGAAATAATTTAATATTTATTATTGATAATTTACAATACTATCTGCAAGTGGATGTGCTAGAAAGTCAATATACTATAATGGAAACAAATATGAAAAATACTCGAAATTTTGAAGATGTGCAAAAAGCACACACTACTTTTTTGGCGAACGTTATGTCTCAAACATTTTTGTTAGAAGGTACAACAGAACGTAAAAATCCTGTACGTATACTCTAATTGATACATTTGAATAGCTATATATTAGTAATCACTAATATATAACGTTATTAATTAGTTATATAATATATAACTAATCAATTACGTATTTATTAAATATTCTTTAACAGGTAAATAAATTGATAAAACTTTTGCTGCGACTTTGTGACGATTTTATTTTACAAGCATCGATGTGGGAAGTAGGCAACTTACTTTTAACGGAGAAAGAAGAACTTAAAACGTTATCTGCCACACTTGAAAGTTTAATGTGCTGGCTGACTAAAACATTGAATAGAGTCCGTGCACAACCTAGTGGAGAACACTTAGCTCAATTATTATTGAGATTAGATTTCAACAGATGGTTTAACAAAAAAATATGAATAAATGATTTGTTCTGAATGACTTCCAAATAGGGTCTTTAAAAGAATGACACATGTACAGTGATATATTATTTTACTCTTCATTTTTTCTTTCAGATTAATCTCTAAAATGTATTTCTTATTTATCGTTTTGTGTATCAT